GAGTAAAGAAACAATCTTGTTTCAAACAACTATTCAAAAAATACTTTCAGTCTTCTTTAATTAACATTTCTCTGTCTGTCTAAATATACTAAGGAAAGTGAAGCTGAGAAAAAGAACTAGGGTATTATTTTAAGGATTGCTCAAATGCCATTCATTCAATCTCCTCCACGCTTAAGGCATGGAATAAATCGCATTATGATACTCAGAAAAAAAGATGTAATTGATGTCATTTTTATTCCTATAAATAACTTCACACCATTTTAAAATTAGCCATAAGGAATTCAGTTCTTATATTCACCATGTTGCTTTTTCTTGCTATGTGGGACATGACTCAGAGTAAATGGTGACTTGATGTTTAAGCGATCCCTTTCAGCCTCTTCTTCCTCGTCATACCGTTCATCCTCATTGTCTTCCACATCACTGCTCTGAGGACTGGATGCCTGAGACCCTGAAGGAGAAGGTGGGACAGAGGAAGGCCTGGGGTATCTAAATCCTTCAGTCTGCCAAAGACACAAACAAGATACACATGTTATAATGGCTTCTGTTTTTTTCCAGCTGTGTGCATGTTCATTACATACAAGACACAATTGGTATCTTTTGTCGTAAGCCCAGGGCTAGGGCGATTAACTTGGATTTGTTTCTGGTATCTCCAAGTTCAACTCAACAATTCAACTCATTGCTGATGAGCTGGAAGCAACGCATAGCTGACCCTCCAGAGGGATTTTGGAGGCTGTAGATCACACAGGAAGAAATTGTTCTTCTTTCTTTCTTGGAACCACTGGTAAATTTGAACTGACAGAAGGCACCACCTTTGGGTTAGAAGTCAAACTTCCTAAGGGCTATGCCACAAGGGCTTCCTCATCACCACGCTCAAGAGAGGCAATTTGCTTCACCTTGCAGAATATCCTCAGTTATTCTTTTGTGAAAGGGGGAAAACCAGTTTACCAGATTGCATTACAAAGATCTAGTAGGTTAACATTTATATAACAACTGAAACATTTTGGTGTTTTCTGCTGTTGAATTAGAACCATCTCAAAGCTGATGCTTCATTGGGTTTTCAGGGGCTACAAATTGTTTAGGAGGAGACTGCCTTAATTTTTTTCATTAATTAATTAATTTATATTAACTTTCTATGTCTGTTCTCCTGGAAACCTATGTAGGATCAGTTGTGGTGTATGGTAAAATGACCTTGACCGAAAAATGAAATCCAAACGCAGAGGATCTGGAAATACCTGGTGAGAATCCTACCGTGTGCGCAACCTTGCAAGCAGAGACACTTTGAGGTGTATCCCCACATGAAGACTGTGAAAGCTTATCTCTGAAGACTTACCAAAATATTGACTCCTGTGGAGTATGGATCTTACTAGCTAAGATGATCCCATAATCAATGGACTAGTTACATTCTAAACTGTTATTTGGTGGGAGGTGAGGGAGGAGTCAAGGGAGAGTAGCTTCTAGATGGCTGTGCAGACTCCTGCAAAGATCCCTCCACTAGTTGCAAAGAAATGCCCGATGCTGGCTGTCCTCTTGCAATCTGTGTTTCCTATCATGTCTGTCTAGATGTTTCAGATGACAGTGTGGTCTGTGGTCATCTCATAAATACAAGTGTTTCAGTAAACCTTAAAAGGCACCCCCTGTCCCTGGTGAAGACTGCAAAATAGGTTGTAAATGCTCACCTAGTGCAACTCATCCTGTGAGACTTTAATGCACGTTAGATTACTCTCGTCAAGTGGTTATCCTATACTGAAATGCTTCCTCGAATAGCAAGTTTACCTTCTGCTAAAGAATCCCCATTTCTTTTTTAAATTACTCCCAAAAGAATGCATGTATAACGATGGCCTACTGGGTAAGGAGTTGTGCTGTCAACACAAAGGCAGGCAGTTCAAATCCACTAGCTCCTTCTGTGCAATGTACAGCCTCTGAAAACTTGCTGGAGGGTCAGCTATGAGTTGATGCTGACTTGATGGCAATGAGTGAGTGAGTGTGAAGGAAGGAAGAGGGAGCTCTGGAAGTTCATAGGAAGTTGTCCTGCTATAGCTGCACTTTTCTGGCAGTTCAAATTAACACAAATTCCTGCTCTGCAGGAAAAAGATAGGCTGTCTCTTCCCATAAAGGTTTACAGCTTCTGAAACCTGACAGAGGGTCACTATAGTTGGAACAGCAACCATAGCAGTGGGTAGGAGGCATCCCTCTAGTGATCATCAAGTGAGATTACTGCCTACTCCCCCCATACATCAGGCTCTCCTCCTCTCTGTGTTGATGCAAGTATGAAGAAGTCTAATAGTTTCCATTTTCAGCTCCTCAAAATTGGAAGGTATTTGCTAGACATGATCACCATCAGCAGGGAGAGTAATTTTCAAAACCCATAAAACAATGCATAGAATATTTACCACTGGTGGCGATGTTAGTTCTATATGGAATTTATCTGGAAAAGCTCTGCTCAATGTCAGGTGCCTAGCATGCTGGTAATACTGGAACACAAAGTCAATTATCAGGTTAAAAAAGAAGATTTAGCCATATCGACATCCAAGTTATTATAGAAACATATTTCCTAGCTATAAAATATGTCTTAAGTTTGAAATTGGGAAGGAAATGACAGTTTATACTTTTGTTATTTTTAAATTTATAAGCAAAGAAATAGTCAGAAATTGGGAGAAGGGTCATATGCTCAGCATTGAGCATTAAGGAAATGAGGAAACACTAGT